TTAGGGCCTGACCTGGGGTTGCTCGGGGATTGGGGGAGGTCTCTATCCCCAGCACCCTGAGTCTGGAGGAGTTGGAGAATGGATCAGGCTGGGGCTGCGGTCTCCCCTCAGTCTCACTAATCCTCAGCCAAGTTGGCCAAGTCAAGGCTTATACTGAGCAGACTGGGCCACCCCAGTACATTAGTGATTCTGGACCAGTTCTGTGGCCAGGGTGAGAGGCAAAGGTGACTTCTTGGAAAAGGAGGTAGCAACAGCACAAGTGAGAGTGCAGTGAGGTATCCTCTTGCCATCCTGTCTTGGAGCCAAGGTTGACAGCCCAGGGCGGCCCAGCTTCCCCGCCCAGCCCAAGCAGGAAGTCCTTGGTGCTGAGTGATTGGGTGGGGGGCGAGAATAGGGCATGCAGGAGCAGTGGGAATGCTGGACCTGGGGTGGTACCTGCTGCCTACCCCCACTCCAGGTCTCTTTTGAGAACAACTTGTTACAGGGTACTACTTAGCCTCTCTGAGCCTCAGTTTCCTCATTTGTGAAGCCCAGAACCCTGTCAGTGAAATCCAGCCTGGAAAGGGAATAAGGTGTGCAGATAGTGCTTAGTGAGGGCTGTTGGGGAGCCTTAACTCTGCCCCAGAGACAACTGTCTGGTGTAGACTGCCTTCCCCTAGCCCCTGACTCAGCCTGCGGAAGGGGTAGGGATAGCATCTGTACTGCACCCAGACTGGGAGGAGCCGGGTAGGCCCCCCGTCTGGCCACCTCAGCCCTTTTCTTAGCCTCAAGGACCAATTAGTCCCCTCAGCCCCACCCACCCACCTCTCACCCCACCTGAGCCTCCAAGGCCCAGGCCTGATGGCAGTTCTGAGTGCAGAACCATGTTCAGCCCCTTGGGGTAGGCCAGGGAGCAGCTGCCGTCTGGTATACCCTGGAGCAGGATTAGGGGCCAGCATGCATAGAGTCCTCACCCCTGTGTTGTGACCTGAGATGTCATGGCTGCCCAAGGCGGGGGTAGGGGTGAGAATTGGGCACCCTTCTTACTGAGCGTCCCTGAGGCAGCCTCTGCATATCTCTGGGCCTCAGTCTGTCAGCAGCTCCAAAGAGCTAGGGCTCCACCCTGGGAACTCCCAGCCTTCCCTGAGCTTCCTTATTCTCACAGCATCTTTTCCCTGGGGCTGGCACAGACTAGAGCAGTATGCAAATGAGGACAGAAGCAAGAAAACCTCAGGCCCAGAGACCCTCCAGGGTGGGAGCAGCATCTTCGTTCCCTGGGGCCTGCCTGTATGCTTTGTAATAGTCCCTCAGTTGAACTGCCTACTATGTCCACTAGCTCCCTAGCCTCTGCCATAAAGTTGGCAGATTGCCTGAGAATATGTGTTGTGTGCCAGGCCCTGGGCTAGTGCCAGAGAGGGGGCCAGCTGTGAGGTGGGAAGCAGTCAGACAAACTTGGGCTGCACCCTGCCTCACCACTTGCTGCCTGTGTGATCCATACAAGTGACCTCCCGTGGCCTCAGTTTACCCAGATATGAAACAGGAGTGCTCGCCTCTCTTGTGAGGAGTGGAGGCAACCCAGGATGAGGGCCCGGACTGAGGGAATGAGGGTCAGTTCCCCTCCCTGTGAGGGTGGAGAATGGGAAGGAGGCGATGCCTAGCTGCTCTCACCACCACCCACTGCGGGCACTGCCCTACTTCGGCCCCAGTTGCCAGGGAACCACTGGGCTCCTTACTAACCTGGATTTCTCTATTGATGGGCGGCCTTTGTCTTCCCTTCTGGGTGTAGCCACCTGCTGAGGGGGCCCATGTCCAGCTGTGTTTCCAGGCAACCCTAAGCTCTGGAGGCTTCAGGGTGGTCCTCAGGCCCTAGAGCCACTGGCTGAGAAACAGAAGTACCTGCCTCCCTCCCTGCTTCAGGTGGGTACCCACCTCCCACCTCTGGCTTCCTAGTCCAGCCTCGCTTGGCAGGCAGCCCAGTGAGTCCTCTGAGATGCAATCTTTCTATGCCTGTCCCTCCCCTGCTAACCCTTCAAGGCTCCTGTAGGCCCTGAGGGAAGTGCAAACTTCTCAGCTCGCGGTTGGGATCTGGGATCCATGCCACCCACCCACCTTTCCAGACCCTTCTCCCTTCCTCTGTGATCCATATAAATGACCTCCTGTGGCCTCAGTTTACCCAAGTGTGAAACAAGTGTGCTCACATCTCTTTTGAGGAGAAGTGAGCACCTTCCCACCTCTTCACCATGGCTAATCCGGCACATCCTGTATACCAGGCTGCGCCAAGCATTGTCCATAAATACAAGAGAATCTCATTTCTGCCTCACACTTGCTTATCAGTGTATGCCATTCCCCCCTCCACAGTTTACACATGTAGAAACTGAGTGAGACACAGTGAATGCTTATTGAGGGTTTACCCTGCCAGGTCCTGTGCTGAGTATTTTAGGTGAATTCCTCATTAGCCTCCTATAGTGTGTGTGTGTGTGTGTGTGTGTGTGTGTGGTGGGGGGAAGGGGGCGGGGGGAAGCAGTGTTGGTGGTGAGGGTTAGGCGGGGAAGGTCTACAACAAGTCAGGCTGGTTCTCCCTAAGTTAGCCCAGGGGTTCAGATCCAGATTCAAACTCCCCTCACCCCCACCGCATCTCAACCTCTGGTCTCTTAACCATCAGCCTGCTCTCTGGCCCTCCTGGCCTTGGGAGAAGCTGGACCCTCTCCTAAGAGTGCCTTCTTTGATCCATGCTCCCCACCGCCCAAATTCAGCATGTACCTCCCCACATACCAGGGTCAAGCCCTGTGCTGGGCACTGGGCATGGAGGTAGCAATCAGTGGCATAGGTGCTGGGTAAACAGGGTGGTCACACAGGATGATTAATGCAGAAGGGGAGGTGGTGGGTGCTTCCAGGAGGAAGTGACTTTGAGCTGAGCTCTGAAGGAAGAGTAGGTGTTGGCCGGATGATGGGAGGGGTTTCTATGTAGAAGAAACAGCAGATAGATACCAGTGTTGGGGTGAGAAAGGCAATTTTGGGGGACTGAAAGCTCAGAGTGGCTAGAGTAGGGGCTGGAGTGAGGGCCAGATCTCCGTGTCAAGGCACCTAGGCTGCAGGTGGGGCTGAACTGGGGGCTAGGGGAAGAGGCCATGTAGATGGACATGGGGCCAGGAGACTTTCAGGATTTAATGGTGCTGACAAGGAGGCTAGGGTGAGGCTGGCAAGTGGCTGGGCCCAGGTGACCCCTCTGCTTCAGTTCTGGGAAAGGGGAAGCTGCCGAGGCCTGGGTGGTGGCACAGCTTCCTCTTTCTCTGGGGCCTCCAAGGCTGCACCTCCCTGGGACTCTGCCGCCTCCAGCTTGGGGCCCTGGTAGTGGCTTTGTAGGCTTTATTCCAGGGAATTTCTGGTTCTAATTGGGTAGTTTTTAGAAAGTAAGAGTGATCTGAGTGTGAGGAAGCTCCTGCTACTGTGAGCCTATTTGGTGGAGGCCTCCTGCCCCAGACACTGGGTTGGGGAGGGTTTTGTGGTGAATGAGGCAGCATCCCTACCCTTGCTGCCGTCTCGTGGGGGTGGGGGTGGGGGGGCAAACAATAAATAAGCAAGCAAACAAATACTTAATAACCTGCCTAGGCAGGAAATGCCTCGGGAAAGAAGGGGCAATGGGGAGGAACTCCCACAACCTACTTTAGGTTTCATTACCTTATTTAAACCTCATAACAGCCTTGTCCTAAGAGATAAACATCCCCATCTTGCAGATGAGGAAACTGAGACCCAGTGAGGTAAAACAGGGGCTCAGGTCCCACAGGGAGTTGGTGGGGCCCCAGGCTAGGAAGCTTCATTCAGGGAGGAGTGGCTTCTAAGCTAACTTCCTTCTTTGCCCCTGAGGCCCCATGGAGTTCTCTTCTGCCAAGATCACAGGAGAGGAGGCTCCCAGTTGTGGGCTAAGGGCACTCACTGCCCTTCTCTGGGCCTTGGTCTCCCCACCTGACAGCCCCCCTCTTGGAAGCCCTCTGGAGGTGCCAGCTTTGGGAGGTCACTGACTGCCCAGCCTTCAGGACAAGGCAGAGGGGGTAGGGATGGAGGTTCCCAGGCTCAGGGCTTAGATGCTGGAGGCCTGGTGGGGAAGGGGATGCAGAGCGGGAGGCCAGAGCAGCAGGTGAGTCTGCATATCCACATGGTTCTGGGTGGCTAGCTGGCAGCTGCCTGACCTGACAGAGAAGGGGCTCAGTGTGGGCTGAGTGTGGGGGTAGGGGCAGCAGCTGTAAGCAGAGACTCGGGCCAGACTGGAGTAAGTGCCGGTTTGGGATAATTATAAGGCTCATAATTTGAAGGCGGCAGGGTGCTAGGCGGCCAGTGTCTGTGAATATGCCTGAGTGGGTCCTCCTTGGCTTTAAGTCTGGGCCTTTGGATCCCCATTTTGCTCCTGGAAGTCTCAAGATCGCAGCTCCCCATCTGTCTGAAGATGAGCAGTTACACATCCCTCCCTGTGCGCTCAGGTCACCCAGCACGTGCCAGTCAAGGCCAGGGGTGGGACAGGCTATCTCCTCTGAGGCTGTTGTACCTCCTCTATCTCACCCCTGTCCCAGCCCTCTGGGCCCACCCTGGAGACATGGAGGGGTACTGGGTCTGGGGACTGGGCAGGGCTTCGGGGCCAGCCTGAGGACTTGGGGTTTGTGGGCAGGTCTGTGGGTTAGATCCTGCAAAGAACGGGATGAGGCCATGGGGAGTTGGGGTTGAGTGAGAGCTGGGCTCGGGCAGAGCAAAGGTTCACTTTGGGACAGAAACTGAAAGGGAAGACTTGTGACCAAGTTAGAGGAGGGGCAGGTTGGGGGAGGGGTCAGGGGATGCCACCTGTTGGGTGCTGACTGCCAGGGTACAGCCTTTACTCTATTCTGTGGCCTGTTTTTTTGTCTCAGGTTTTCCCCTGAACTGGCCTTGGACTGAGAACCACTGTCAGTGACCTGGAGAGTCCCGTGGTGTGAACACTGCCCCTCCTCCTCCCCTGTGGTGTAACTCAAGCCCCTGGCTTGCCAAGGTCTCTGCCCAGCCAGGCCATCCAGTGAGGATGGGAGGGCGGATCAGTTTCCTCTAGTTCTTTTTCCAGGTGGGAAGCCCAGGCTACCTACTGGCTGAGGAGCTCTCATGTGACCTGGAGTTTATTGCAGGCAGCATTTCTTTCAAGGGGCTTGTCATCAGACAAGGCCGGGTCCTCTTACCTGCTGAGGGCCCTGGGCCAGTGACTTGGCTCTCCAAGGCCACCCTTTGGAGTTCAGAGGCTGTGAGTAGCCTGCGGCTGAAGCTGGACAAATATTGCTTCCTTTGGCCTCCTGAGCCTGAAGCCAGGCCTCCTGGAAATACATCGTTGTCAAGCTCCCTTGTTTTGCCAGTCTCTTTTGTTGTCTAATCCAAGTCCTCCTGTCTGCTGTTCCAGCCTTGCCTTCTGGCTGGAGACCTCTCCAGAGGAGGCCACACTCTGAGCCTGAGGGCTCAGCCTCAGGCCAGTGCGTATCTCAGGGGGATACTGTTTATCTGTTGCCATCCATCTACCCTGGGGTGTGAGCTCCCAAGGACAGGGAAACTATTCCTCTCATTCATGTTCATGTTAATTCCTGTGCCTAGTGTGCCCAAGAAAGGTTGGAAGGCTGAATGCTGGCTACCATAATCACCTCGCCAGCACCTCCCCCAGGTCTACCCTGGCCCAGGAGATGCAGTCAGACATATCCCGGCCCTCCGTGAAGTGAAGTCGGCCGGATGAGGACAGTGGGACATGTGGGAGGACCAGGACTGTGTTGGGATTGGGGAAGAGGGAGGGACACCCAGGGGCTTTGGAGGCCAGAACTAGCTTTGGGGAAAGGCAGGTCTAGAGGCCTTTGTTGGGCTTTAAAGAGTGAGGGGAAAGGCCTTCCTTAGAGCAGGAACAGCAAGAGTGAAGGCAGAGGAGCAGGGGACGTGGGCATGTTCATGGCTTGTAGGGAGTTCTGAGGGGCAGGAGCCTGAGACTAGGGGGTGGGGATTGCCAGCTCTCTCATCCCCCATCCCCAGGGACGCAGTCACAGGCTTCCTTCCTCCCCAGGCTTTCTTGCCCATGCCTGAGGGCACCTGGCTGTTTATGGAAGGGGAAGGAAGCCCTTCCTCCTCCAGGAAGCCTCCCGAACCTGGCAGATTCCTCTGCCGCACTCCAGTCTACGTTGTCCTAGGAGGCTGGCCCCAGACAGGGCACCCACACCTCTACCCAGGCTTGGAGGGGGTGGTAGTGCGAGTAGGCCAAGCCTCCCTGAAACTCTGCCTGCCCAGCAGCACCTTGCAAATTCCCCACCTGGAAGCAGTGCTGGGAGGAAGCAGCTGTTCTCGCCTCTTGCTGAGCCTACCCTGTCTGCTCTAGGCTGGGGACCACAGGGCCTGAGGATGCAGCTGAGGATGCAGCTGAGCCCTCCGCCACACTGGGCCCTGTCCTGTCTCCTTTTGGTGAGTTGGGGCTAGAAGTGTGGGGATGCCAGAAGAACCAAGTCCTGAGCCCTGTGGCCCAGCCCTCCTAGGAGGTGGAGTATAAATGTTGCTTAGGAGCCCCCTCCCTCCCCGTGCTAAGGTGAGGTGCTGGGATTGGTTACTCAGGTCTTCCTATGAGGCAGTCTGACCCTGGCCCACACTACTCCTGGTTCAGGAGACTCTCAGCACCTGGTAGGTGCTGGGAATCAGGTCTGAGGCCTGAGGAGATCCCCAGAGACTCCTGTGTGTCATCCCTCTGTCCTTCATGGTTGCTGGCTCTATCCTGTGCCTGTCACCCTCAAGCTGGGGCAGAATTGGAGGATGGGGGGTGTGTGTGTGTGTGGCGGGGACTCAGCTGAGGGCCCAGAGTAGGAAACCCTGGGGCAGGCTTTGCCCAGCTGTGTGTGAGGGTGAGGTGGGGGGGAGGGGGCACGAACCTGAGAGGGGAATTCGGAAGTTTTTCCTCTTTGTCCTGGAGGATGGAAGGGGTGTGATTTGGAGACTCAAGGGCGTGAGATCCTGGGTGGGCCCTATCTGGAGCGTCCGGCACTTTCCAGAAGCAGGTGTTGTTATTTCCCTACCTCGGCATTGGCCATGCAGCAGGTCTGGGACAGGCAGGTTTACTTGCAGCATGAGGGGTTGAGGTTAGAGAGTAACCCTGAAGCCTGGAGGGGTGTGGTCTTCTGTAGTCTGCGGTCCCCACTCCTTGGGGCGTCAGGAAGTGGGCGGTGGATAGACAGTCCCAGAGATGCCATGGCTTTCTGCTCTCTTAGTGCCCTCTGTTCTTCCAGCTGCTGCCCTGGCCTCTGACCACGCCAACAACAACGACCCCTTGGCAGTGCCCACCTGGAGAGGAGCCCAACTGGGTGAGTTTGCCCTGACCTGTCTTGGGAAGACTCTTTAGGGCCAGGGGTGGGCTTCCTAGGGACCTCAGTCCTGGCTCCTGGCTCCGTTCTCACCCTTTCCCTCCCACAGGACCCAGGGCAGGGCACATTATGCAGGTCCTGCCCCCCAGGCACCTTCTCAACCTCGTGGGGCTCTAGCCCATGCCAGCCTCACTCCCGCTGCAGCCCTCGAGGGAGGCTGGAGGCCCAGGCGGGCACAGTGACTCAAGACACACTATGTGGAGACTGCCAGCCTGGGTGAGCCACGGGGTGGGGCGTGGGGGCTCATGCCAGGTGACCAGGACTCTAGATCCTGGGGTCCCAGCCTATGAACAGGCCTCAGCCCTCCCATCTGTGAAATGGGATAGGTAGGGACCAGTGTGGGTACTCAGTAGGAAGGAGTCCAGCCTCTTTTGAGGAAGGTTCTTGGCCTCAGTGATGTCTTCTCCCCCCATAGGTGGTTTGCCCCTTCCGAGGTATCCCATGTTCCCTGTCAGCCATGTTCCTGGAAACCTCTGGGTACTCATGGCTGTTATGGTGAGTGTCCTGTAGGGCCTAGGACTGGTGGGGGTGTGTGTGGAAATGGGGCTGGTGAACTTGAGTCCAGAGACCCTCACAGGGGAGTCATTCCCTCAGCCCACGGGTGGGTAAACGGCCAGAGAGTGTTCAGAAGGATGTCATCAGTTGTTCCACTGGCTGAGTGTTTGCCTGCCTCATTTCTGGGTGGCAGAGACTGTCCAGCAGGTGGCAGCCACAGTGGGCGGTGCTCACATCCTGACTGATCCTGTCTTCATCCCCTCAGAGACACCCATGCACACGTGCTCGTACTTACACACACATGCACCTCCTCTCACCTGTTGAGTCAGTCACCTTCTAAGGCAACTAACTCATGGGCCAGGTTACAGGGAGTCAGGATTTGATGTTCCTGTGTCCAGGCATGTGTCCCATGATGGGTGGATAGGGTCCTGAGGGTCTGGCCATCCTGAAGCCTGAGGAGGCCTTGCTTAGAGGGCGGTGCTTCCTCAACATGGCAGGAAGTGTGTGTCTCTGGACACGTCATCAACCCCCCCACAAACATACACTAACTTGGGCCATGGGCCTCTCTGCGTATCTTTCTTGCCTCCATGCCTCTATCCTCCATGGTGCTCAGAGTGGGGGCGGCGAGCCCGACGTGGCGTGGAGGTGGCAGCAGGGCCTAGTGGCACTGGGGAGACACAGCAACCTGGGAATGGTACACGGGCAGGCGGCCCCGAGGAGACAGCTGCCCAGTATGCGGTTATTGCCATCGTGCCTATCTTCTGCCTCATGGGACTGCTGGGCATCCTGGTGTGTAACCTGCTCAAGCGGAAGGGCTACCACTGCACTGCCCACAAGGAAGTCGGGCCTGGTCCTGGAGGTGGAAGCAGCGGTAAGGCCCAGCCTGGGGACCTTGTGGAGAGGCCAGAGGGCCCAGGCCATCTCAGCCCAGCTCAGCTTGAGGGTTACCCAAGGGGACCTGCTTGGTTTGGAGGGTCTGACAAGGAGAGGCCTGCAAAGGGTAAATTGAGAGGGCTTCCTGGAGGTGTTGTACATGTGACACAGGAGACACTGCAGAGTGACAAAGTGGAAGGAAGGATGAGGTGGCCCAAGGTGGCAATGGGGCAGAGCAGAGGCAGAGCAGGTCAGGTGGCTTCAGTGGGATTCCCACACTGGGTGAGGCCCTGCCTAGCTGTAGGGGTCTGGATTTCTTGGGGCTACAGTTGTGTGTGTGGTTCAAGGGTTGGACTCCCATTTTGGTACTCAAGGTTACCTCTGACCTCTGGCCTGAAAGGCTGGCAGGACAACTGTCCTCGGCAAGTATCACAAGAGGCTTGGGTTTCCAGGCTGTGGTTTGAGTTACGAGTCCTGGGACCAGAGGGAGAGATTTATTCTTCTTGCCCCCACCCCAGGGCCCTGAGCCCTCATTTCTCCTCCCCACCTCCCACTATCCCCTAAAGGCCAGTAGGGCAAGGGTCCTGCATGCACATACACTGTCCACAGGAGCCTTGTGGCCAAGTCAAGATTGAAATAGCTCCTTCTGTGCCAGTGCTCCAGTCTGCCTGGGGCTGGCCAGAGCCCTTCCCAACTCCTGACACTGAAGTCTGGAAGGGGTAGGGGCAGGAAGGGGACAGGAACTTTAGGCAGGCAGGAGAGTGGTACCTCAGGCCATCTCACCTGTTTTCCTAACTTAGAACTAACTTTAACTGCTGGCTGCTGCCTGGGTACAAACTCCGTTAGCTGCTGGCCCAGGATTGATCATGTGGCCCATTTTTATGTCTTTGAGGTTTGGGCCCTACGTTGACCAAGGGCCCTCAGTTATATAGACAGGGTGGTGTGCATAATAGGCCCGGAATTGGCAGAGTTTGCCAGAGTTGTTGGGGTTCTGGACCAAGAGGCAACCCATAGCTCCCTGAGGCTGAGGAGGGTAGAGCGCAAGCCCCAGAAAAGGCTGCCTTCCACCCCACACACCCACTCTGCAGGGACTTCAGATGGCCCTGAAACCACTAAGCACCTGGGGCTTTTGGGTTCAGGAAGCGGTGATGCTGATTAGTGAGGGTGAAAATAGGCTTCTCAGAGCTGTGGCCTGAACAAGTACATAAACACCCAGGCTCCTAGCTCAGGTGTGGTGCGCCCCCTGCTGCCAGGTCCTGGTGTAGCTCGCGAGTCAGGTTCCATTACTCCTTCATTTCCCCAGGATCATGGTCCTCTTCTCTTCCCCAGGGATCAATCCTGCCTACCGGCTCGAGGACGCCAATGAGGACACCATCGGGGTCCTGGTGCGCCTGATCACAGAGAAGAAAGGTGAGGGGAATGTCTGAC